ATATTTTTTTACTAACTAACTGGTTATAACCCCTTAAATTTGCAATAATAAAACATATTACTCATTACATTTTATGCAATTAATGTATGTAGTTTTTATTTATAAGTAAAATAATTTATAATTATAATGTTCATTGCTACTAATCATCATAATTATATAATGTGATATGGGCATTATATAACTTATAATTTTAAATATAATATTTTACTTGTGCTAGTAATCACCCGTGCGATGCACGGGTATATTATCACTTGTGAGCTTTTTACAATTATATTTTGTATATAAATTGTGTAATAACAAAATGATCATGATCATAAGAATAGACATATAAACATATAATTAAACTGAAAAGATCATCTATTATTGAACACTTCCCTATATAGTATATACAACATTATTGGTTTGATTCTTTGGCACGTCATCTTCGCCACAAATTCAGATTTTCAAACCCTTTCGGTTAGTGACACATGAGACAGCAACATATAACTGGCCATGACTGAACGCTGGTTTCTTAAGAAATAAGCCAATATGAAATAAGGATTGTTCATGGCTCTTGTTTATAGTCATGGCATAAGAAACCATAATGGAAAACTGCCGCCGCTGGAACTTGAAAGGTATTCTAACATCAGAAGGAGTTATGGCCATTCTTGGAATCAACACCGTATCACCAGCATGTCTCCTGTGAGTATCTTACACTCAAGAACATGAGTGGATAGTTTTGTCACAACCAATCGTGTCCCATTACACAAACCCATAGAATGATCCATGTGTCCGCAATAACATGACTGGAGTTCTAATCTTCAAATACAACTCATGGTTCAGTATTCCAGAACACTTGATACTATTCAAAAACTCAGGCGTGTGGAGATCAGACAAAAAATCATTATTAGAATCCGATTTGCACGTACTATCAGAGCTCAAGTACATACGACCATCCAACAAATTCAATGATGTCATGTACTCATTGATAGACTCGACCACATCCAACGTCGGCACTAATGCCCTATCCTTCAAATAGCTCGGATCGTCAGGCGCCTCCTTATACATTGGATATGTGCTTTCAACGATTTGAGCAATAGGATCATCAGATGGCTGAAGCAAAATGTCTTCGGGTATGTCTATAAGTGCACACCTATCATTCGACCCCCCGATAGTTCCATCTCCGATATTGGCTATCCAATCTGCAAACCGTGCAAGCTCATCACGTTCATCCAAATTAGCAAGTCCTTGAAGACGCATGTCTTTCGTAAGCCTAAGCACAGTACAACTCCTCCATATGTTAGAAGCATTAATGACAGCATTGACTATGTCCTGACTGCTACTCTTTGGAATGACAGGAAGGATTTGTCGAAAATCTCCACAAAAAACAACTGGCTTCCCACCAAACGGTTTGTTGAGGTTCAAAGGATCAATTGCTCCCGTAATACCCTGCAACGATGTCTGTACTGCTTCAAAACAATGTTTGTACATCATTGGTGCTTCATCCCATATTATTAGAGAAGCACGAATTATCAATTCCACCAGAGGGCTTGCCTGATTGATGTTTCAAGTAGATTCCTGGTGGGGATTCAATGGTATAGCAAATCGAGAATGCGTTGTTCGTCCACCTGGCAACAACAGCGACGCTATTCCGCTGGATCCGACACATAAGACTATACCGCCTTTGGATCTCAAAGCAGCAGATAAAGTCCTCCACATGTACGTCTTCCTGGTTCCACCATAACCATATACAAAAAAGAGATTTCCTTGGCCGGATTCAACAACGGACATAATTTTTGAGTAGACACTCCTCTGTTCGGTTGTCATTTTAAAATGTTAATTAATTTACAATATGGGTTTTAATGAATTCAAACTCTTGTATGACGATAAGATAAGTACAAATTAGTTAAGAAGTGGAGATTTTTCGTTGTGATAGCATCATAATCACCGTATATATCTATACTAATACATACAATGCGATTAAAAATAGATTAATATATAAATTATTATTATTATAATATTAATATTAATTTAACCAAAATTTATTCAACTTTTGTTTTAAAATGTTGTTTGATTAAATGACGTAAAAAAAATATGGATTGAACCATTAATAAGTGATTAAAATATTAATTAATTTAAAATATGAGTTTTAATAAATTCAAACTCTTGTATGATGATAAGATAAGTGCAAATTAGTTGAAGTGGAGATTTTTCGTTGTGATAGCATCATAATCACCGTAAATATCTATACTAATACATACAATGCAATTAGAAACAGATTAATATATAAATTATTATTATTATTATTATAATATTAATATTAATTTAACCAAAATTTATTCAACCTTTGTTTTAAAATGTTGTTTGATTAAATGACGTAAAAAAAATGGATTGAACCATTAATAAGTGATTAAAATGTTAATTAATTAAAATATGAGTTTTCATAAATTCAAACTCTTGTATGATGATATGATAAGTGCAAAGTAGTTAAGAAGTGGAGATTTTTCGTTATGATAGCATCATACTCACCGTATATATCTATATTAATACATACCATGCGATTAAAAACAGATTAATATATAAATTATTATTATTAAAATTTTGACGTAAAAAGAAATAAATATGGATTGAACCATTAATAAGTAATTAAAATGTTATTTGAGATATTAATACAAATAATGAGCGATTTTCATTTACGAGTTATCCAATCCAATATTATCTCTACACTGTTAATTGTATTATCTCTACAATTAATTTTGAATTGGGACTGTGATTTTCCGTCAATAAAAAACTACTACGGCGAGATCATATTTAACCTTTTATCATTAAGATCAACATCTATTATTATATAACACAAATTAATATAAATATTATAATCAAACAAATATTTATGAATATAATCCATTATGATAAATTATTGAAAAATCACACAATATAATCCATTAAATGTACTTGATTCAGTTATTGTTAATTCCGTAATTTTTTATTTATATAATCTTTTATTTGAAATATTTGTTAAAATTTGTATTAATTTATATCTTATATCATGGCTTCTACCAATTTTAAAATATTATACAATAGAAGTAAAAAAATATATGTTCAAATTTTCACATTCGTGGGACATTGAATAAAAAAATAAAAATACTCAACGACATTTTATAACGATAACAAATATAATAACACTAAAATTTATTATAGAATTCAGAATTCAACGACACGGAATGAAATTAAAATTCATAATAATCAAACTCTAAATATCATAAATATCTTCTGCTCCTTGCTAATGTTGAGGGAAAATATCACCATTTTGAGGGAAAATCCCACCATATTTGATAACATGAGTTCTTCCATGAAGCACAAGTTTCCATATGTTGGTTATGATATCTTTCTTCCCGTGGTTATTATATTATCGATGTGTTCTGAAATTTATCTCTTTTTTTTTCTCTGAACTTTGTGAATGACGTGAATAGATAATAGTGGTAGTGCATATTATTTTATAGAAATATTTTTGTGTGACGTTGGTATGGACCGAAATTTAATGGAAAGATTGATGATAATTATGTAATGATAATTATGGATCCAATTCTGATAGATATTCCATATAGATTAATACATATGTTCACGTGAAAAGACGAGATTAATACTGAAGATTGATCGTGTTTCTTTTGAGATGGTATATTCCATTAATTCAAATCGAGACTTATCTCTTTAAGGTGACTTATCCACATATCTCAATAATATCACTAATCCATTAATTGTTGAATTCAAATATGACTTTTTTTTAATCTCGTGTCTTATAAATGCTTTCAAGCTTTCTATATTTAGAATGTCAAAGTATTTTTTTTTTTTGGTCAAAAGTTTCTAAAAAGGTATTTTAACAACAACCTTTTTATATAGATGTAGATATAGAATATAAATATAGATATAGATATAGAGGGAAATGCTCACATGCCTACGGTGGGCACATGTTAATATGCCCACCGTGGGCATGTGAGCATTTCCGTAGATATAGATATGGATTTGTGCACGTGCACATTATCGAATGCTAGTTTGATATGACTTACTGCACTGACTCTAGGGCTGAGTATGGGACTCGGAGAATTCCGAACCGAACCGAACTTACTCCGAACCGAAAAATATCCATTGACCGTTTGACTTTCTCCGAAGCGAACCAAACCCAAAAAATAATCGGTACGGTTCTGGATATTTCATAAATATCCGTATCGAGAACCGAATTGAACCGTCCCGTACCATACCGAACTGAAGAACCGAAATTAAGAACCGAATTATAAAAATAGATTCTTGTTATTAATATATTTTATGTCAACTTTGATCCTATATAATTTGAAAATTTTTAAAATGCAAATAAAATATAGTAATAACAATTAAGATTCACTTACATTTCATGTTTAGTAATACTTGATCTACAATTGGATTTCTCCTATTTTTTTAAAAAAAATGGAATGAAAGGTTAAAGATTTTAAAAAAAAAATATTTAAGCTTTACTTAAAGTTGTCAATGTTATAAAAAATACTTAAAGTTATCTTATAACTAACATGGTATGGAAGGTTAAATAAATATTACTTTAATATAAAACTGCATTATATTTTGTTCGAATTTTAAATTTTAAATGTTAGTTGAATTTAGTCTTAACTAAATTTAGGGTTACTTCTAAAATTGGTTTAAAAATAAAATCTTTAGTATGATGAAGTATTGATGAATGTTGGACTAAAAAAAACATATAAAAAATAAAATATAACTAGGTGGTCATTCAAAAAAAATAAAAAAATGATAAAAAACCTCTGAATATCCGAACCGAACCAAATCGAACCGAACCGTTCCGATAGTTCTGAAAACCGAACCAAAAAATAATAATCTCCGAACTGGACCGAACCGATTTTTTGGTACGGTTCTGGAGATCGAATTTTAGTGATCTCCGAACTTCGATACGGTTCTGGAGATTTATCAATTTCCGAACCAAACAGACCCATGCTCACCTTAACTGCCCAAAGCCCAATGCTTTCAAATTTGTGAACAAACAAACTCTACATTGACCAAGCACGGTTCTTGCTGACTGATTGCGAGTGAAACTGGGACACAAATCAAACCCTGCAAAATTCTCAGCTCAAGCGCAGCGCATACTGAAGGAGGTTAGCATGATGGCGGACAAGAGTGAGGTTGATGGAGGGGTAGATGTGAAAGTACAATCTAGTCCTTCAATCCCCTCCGGCAGCGACAATGTTTGGGCGGATGTTTCGTCTCTCCTCCAGCTCGCTTGTGATGGTCATTTTCCGTCTCCCTTGTTCTAATTGCGACCATTTTGTGTATTTTCCATTTATCTAGTCAATACGTTGAATGAATTGAGAATTACAGGATTTTGTTGTTGCGGGAGGTTTTGATAATCTATGCCCGGGGATTTATTTATTTATTTATTTATTTATTTTTTCTGTGAGACGGCTATGTGAATGAACAGTGTCTTCATTAAGGAGCGAGAAGGGGGTAATGTAATGGGTTGGCTAATTTGAATTTGAGGATCTAAAAGCTGTACTATGCGAAGATGACAAGAGAAGCTTCTGAGTTGCATACGAGTTTTCTTAAACAATATAATTGAACTTTTATATTTTGTGAAAAATGGAAAATGGACATTTGGAGATGAAACAAAACACGGGGTTTCTTGGAGGCACAAATGGGTTAGTATGCATCAAAGTTTCTGGTTTGTTGTCCTCTTTGCTTCTATTGCTCAACTTTTGGAGTTTGTTATGTGACCAGGGGGAGAGCTGTCTGTATTGGAGAGAGGTAGTTAGCATAATATAAATAAAAAATTTATAGGTTTCTGTGAAGGCTTAACAGTGAAAAGTGACTGTTTTGATATGATATATGATTATGTATGGCCCTTGTTTCCTTGAATGATTGAAATTTAGCATTTATAAGAAATAGGTGCTGATTTTACCCCATCCTTACTAACTTCTGAATTCTCAGGTAATTAGATGATAGAGTTGCACTTTAAGGTATAAAGTGAATGCATTGTGTAGCTTACTTTAGACTGAGTTGCAGCAGTTGCTCACCAGTTAACTTTGCCTGAGAAATAGGAAACGAGAAATAATCACAATTTTATTGTGGATAAAGCAGCTAGATTATATTAATGAATTACTTGGTTTTCTGATTTCAAGAACTTCTGAAACTGATTGGTTAACCTATCATGTTATTAGTTTGATCATAATATCGTATACCTTATGGTATATTACTATGCATGTATCTTGAACAAGGATAGAAGCTAACAAATACATAAATCAATGTATCTTGTTTAATATCATATTATCTACTGTTGCCTGCAACGACATATTTTTCCATTTGCTTTTACCATTCCTGTGCAACCTAAATACTCAACTCTCCGTATAGTTTCATCTCTTTCATTATATTGTAGGTTTTTATTTTTTTTATTTTTTTTCCCTCTATGGGCAGGAATTGTAGTAAACATTGGTCCTTAAACTATTCAAACAACGCGATGACACTTTCATATCTTATTATCATGGCCATTCAACGGTGTTGAGAGGCAGGTTTTTTCTTTATTCATCCCTGTTTTGTAAGAAAAGCCTTACACAGAGCATGCTAGTGCTGCTAGGTAGTCTCTTGATGGGCCTATTTTTTCTTAATTTAGAGGAAATCCAGGATATAATGAGTGAAATTTGGATAGATAAGGTGTGATCAGTCATCAATGTAGTATTGAATAGCATACCTTCCCAACAACTGAACTGGCGTGTATATTGAGGTCATGTGGGCATGACTATGTGTCATGTTAGTGGTTGTATGCTTATTCTGGCTGAAAATTCAGGAAGTTGCTGCTGTAAGCAGTGTAGTTATTATGTAATTATGATGTAATGGTTGTTTAGGCTAGGTGTCGCACGCACCTTTTGTGTTTGTCAAAAGTTATCTACCGATTTTTTCATTTCACAGGGTGCAAATGGTGGACCATTGGCTCTATACTATACTGCTATGCAGTGATTTGTTTCTTATGGCAGCTACCTATTTAACTTATGCCATCTTCCTTAGCTTCTTTGACCAAAATAGTTTTAAACCTATTTAGGTGTGGTATTTTCTTAATATTTGATTGATCGTAGCTGCTTCAATATTAGTACTATGGAGTACGGATAGAGCTGTCAAAATGAGCTAACTGGGTGATCAGCCCAATATTCCGCCCGCCGTTTGGTGGGATGGGCTGGCCTGCCATGAAATGGCAGCCCGGCCCTTCCGCATTACGGGCTGTGGATTGGGTGAGCCTGGTATGCCCAGTATAAAAAATCTGAGATATGAAATTGAAGAATATATGATATGGTTGGTAGGAAAATTCTAAAAAAAAAAAAATATAATGCTAACAGACTAAGTTAAGAGTCTAAATTACAAGTTGAATGGATTCTTCAACTCATTAAAGCAATCAATTTCGGGGAAACTGGAATTTTAGGCCCAACTCAGAATATTTAACAAAGCACAATTTAGAATGATTGAAAATCTGAGTTTTGCTGAATTTAAATAAATGGAGGCCCATCTCAGAATGTTTCACTAAGTACAAATTTAACTTAGTAATTTTCATTAAGGTTCAGAAAAAAAAAATTGCACCCATTT